AATTACGTAGAGGCTTGAAGTAATCCTCAGATTGGATCAGCTGATCCCTTATAATCAAGAGGCTCTCTTAATGCTTAATTTGAGTTTTTGTCCTCTCTTGGCAGCCTCGTCCTTCCACATAGACCTGGGACTGACAGTGTTTTCTGCCTTGGTGTATTTAACAGACAGTGTGACCTGAGGTGGGGGTGGGGTTAGGAATGCAGCCATTGTTGGCTTTGATTCTTTAGCTCTTATCTGGCTGGCTAGGGTTCAGAGGTTGTATTTCTCCAGGAATTCCCTTTCAGTATTACAGCCAGGCAAGTTAAATGATAAAGACACCATTACTGGGCCTTGCAGTTGATGTTGTCATTATTTACAAATCAGCTTTCTTGTGGGTTGGAGGTTCTCAAGGCCCTCCTTGCACCTACATTAGGGTCTGCTTTGACTCCTGGATGGTGCCGTTGACCTTTAGATATCCAACTTGTCATTAGTTGTGTAATAACTAGAGGTGATAAATGAAATGCAGTTGGATAAAGCAGGATTAATTTCTTTTGTGCTATTGTCTCTACCCCATACAGTGACATTTTTCACCTATCCAGGGAAAATTTTAAGAAAGGGCTATTATTATCTAAGAGCCTTGGCAAGATCATGGTTACTATTTATAAGTAAGGATTCTCGCCCATGTTCCCTGTGTCTTCTGTAGAATCAGATAATGAGTTAGGAAATGCATCCAAAGTAAGAAAAGAAGCAACTTGCCTAAAGGTCAGCCAGTGAGTTAATAACGTGCCCAGGATTAGAACGCAGCCACCACCACCCCTGCCTTCCTCCTGCCGCCCTCCCCCCCATTCTTAGCCCAGCAGCCCTGGCACTGCTACCGCCTCTGCCAGCGCCCCCAGTCCAGCTCATGGGAGCTTGTCCTCACTGCCCGTTGCTCCCTATTTTCTCCCTGTCCCTTTTGTATCTCCCACCTTGCTCTTCAGTCAACTTCCTGTGGGTCTAGGGCCCCAGTTTTCCAGCTCCACAAGGCTGAGATCTGAGTACCCCAGAATCTCCTCTGAGGTCTTGGGCCCCAAGAAGAGAATGTCACAAAAGGGAAGGCCTCAACAATTTGGGCTGTTCACCCTGAGCACCACAGTTCCCTGAACAGGGAAGAGGAAAGGAATGGCTAGAAATGGGTCTAAAAAATTCATAATTACTGAGAAAGGGGCATTCCAGTGTGTAGTTTTTCAGGCATGTCTCTGAAAACTACCCTTTCTTCCTGCTAGCCCTGACAGTTTGGAGTGCTCCTGAGTTCCCATCTTGCCTGCGTTGAAAGGAAGGGTAGAGGAAGTGGAATTAAAATCAGTTAATGTGCTAATTGTTAGCAGCTCTGGTAAAAATACCACAACTTCACATTTAAGCAGGCNATCCCTTTTTCAGCCATAGCTGTTTCCTTCCCTCCCATGTTACTTAAGAGAACCGCACTTCAGTCCAAAGCAAATGTACTTTGTTGCCTGCGCACACAGATCCCATAAAAATAAATGAAGAGGAAAGCAAAGTAGATTGCATGTCCCAGGGCCCATTCCTTAATTTTTATTCACGTCCCTGTTAGATTGCCGTTAGCGCTGCTTGGAGTCCTGAGCACAAGCTTCTCTTTTGATGCCACCATAACGCTTCTGATCTGCTATCATCTGATATGTGTGGGTAAAGAGGACTATGGGAATATTTATGTATCTACGCCAATAAACCACTGTCTTCAAGTTCTGGGGCTGTTCTTGTGAATGAGAGTCCTGGGATGACATGTAGGTATAAGACGCGAATTAATAGTCCTTGTGAGTGCTTGTAACCTACAGAACCCACATTCAGTTTGATTTAATACCTTTGTGCAATTTCAAATGTCATCCAAGAAGAGAGCCAAATACCTAGAGCTTCTGCCACAGCCTGCAGGGCTGGCTGACAAGTTTGCACCGGCTGACCCGCTCTGCGGCTTTTTGGAAAGACGAGATGTGTTCTAATGAGCAGGTTATAAATATCACTGAGTTATGTCATAGGTGGTAGCAGCGCTCACTTGTGAAAGGACCTGCTGGGAAGTGCTCCCGGCGGAACAGGCCAGGCACAGACTTCAGAGAGGACTAGTGGGGCCTGGATGTATCGACCAGGATGTTACTAAAGAATTATTTGTCCCTTAATAGAATGTGTCACCAAACGTGTCTCTGTAAGGTGTGTGGGGCCACGAGATGAGATGTGTTCTGATCACAGTCCGGCGGCTCCAGGTTCCGTATGCATCCAATGCCTTGCAGAAGGGGCCTTTGACCCTCTGCTGCTTTTGTCAAAAAAGAAAGTGGGACGGGGAGGGGCAGTTTGATGGTTTACTGGACAGTGATTTATGTTCTCAAAGATGCAGGGTGGTCGTTTGGTGGAACCCCTCATTTTTCTTTCCTTTTATCTTTGTCTTGCCCATAAAATTGCAAGTTCTAAGAAGCCTGTACCCACATTGCATGCGGCGCCTTGCTGATATTCCTATACCCCTCTTACCACCCACCTTTTAAGTGAAAAGATAGATTTCAGTACCGCGCAACAGAGCAGGAAAACTACCGAGCCATTATTAGGTTGGAAATAGCCTCTTGCAAGGTACTTTGCTTTTGTTTGTTTATCTGGCCTCAGAATTGGTTTTCCGACTTTTATTTTCTTGAGAAAATTTGGTTGTGGAAGCACAAAAAAACATCAATCCCAGGTCAAAATTTTCAGAGTTGAACAAAAGATGGGCAGACATGTTCAGAATAATTGTTTGCTTAAGATCTAGCCAACAGCTTTTATGTAGACAAAATGCATTGAAATATGTGTATAAAATATTTAACATTAATACACAGCAGATGGAAACCCTGTCAAATTCTGTATGCTCACAGGAACTTGACAAGAGGAGTTGGGAGATTTAGAGAGCTCCTCAGAGCAGTTGAAACGAGAACAACTCAAAACCTGCGAATGGTAAGTGTGATTAATGACTTGATTGAAGCCCAAAGGGCACTTCAGGTGTTTTCTGTCTCTTATATATAATATTTATTGAGATACAGTTTATGTACCATATAATTCACCCATTTACAGTCATTCATTTTTAGTATACTCACAGAATTATTCAGCCATCACTAATATTTAATTTCAGAACATTTTCATCACCCCAGAAAGAAACTCCATACCCATCAGCCGTCCCTTTTCCCCAGCCCATGCGAATCACTCATTTACTTTCTGTTTCTATGGATTTGCCTATTTTGGATATTTCATATAAATGGAATCATATAATATGTGGTCTTTTTGTGACTGAATTCCTTTACTTTAGCATAATGTTTTCATGGCTCATCCATGTTGTAGCTTGTATTCATACTTCTTTCCTTTTCATTACCACATAATATTTCATTGTACAGATACACCACATTTTATTTATCCATTCATCAGTTGATGGATATTTGGGTTGTTTCCACTTTTTGGCTGTTATGCTGCTATGAACATTCTTATGCAAGTGCTTATGTGGATATATATGTTCATCTTTCTTGGTTATATGCCTAGGAGTAGAATTGCTGGTAACTATGATATAAACTATTTTTAACATTTAGAAGAATTGCTGGACTCTTTTCCAAAGTGGTCACACCATTTTACATTCCCACCAGAAGTTATGAGGGTTCCAATTTTTCCACATCCTTGACAACATTGTTATTTATTATCCGTGGCTTTAGCTGTAGCCATCCTAGTGGGTGTGAGGTGCTGTCTCGTTATGGTTTTGATCTACAGTACCTGATGCTAATGATGTTGGGCATCTTTTCAATTGCTTATCGGTAGTGCTGTCTCTTGAAACATCAGAAATGCATCCTGTAAGGCAGCTGGAATGGAAGCCCTCCCAAAGGCCAGCGTGGTGAAACGGTTGTTTGAACGCCTATGATTCATACCACCAGACAGAGCAAAGCAGATTAGACCCTGAGGAGTCCCTCGTTGTTTGACTACTTATATCGACTATAAAACCTACATGAGAAATAAAGAAGTTCGTTAAATAAACTGGCTGATCAGGAGTGTGGCTTTCTAGTTGCCTTGAGCTGTCTTTCTTCCTTTTTAATCCTTTCACTTTCCTGCCTGGCGAGGCTCCTTAATTGTACCCCCATAGCTTGCCTTTCAGAGCCATAGGCACTGAGTGAGTATTTGGGTATAGGCCTAGGGCTTGCTGGAAGCTAAGCAAATGGCACCTGTCATCATTGTTGTAGCAACCCCATGTCAGACTGCAGTTTCTTTTGTCATCCACGTTGTTGCCCTCTCATTATCAGGAACCCTTTAAATGCTGTGAGAGAGTATTAAGTTGGGCAAGGCTAATGGATTCCTGTCATGGGAAATGAGGCAGTATCTTCATTTTGGCATCTCCAGAGTTTTAGGAGCAGATATACAACTAATGGGGCCAGATGGCTAGACCAGAGGTTTACCTAGAATTGGGGGGTGGGGTGAGAGAAGATGAGCAACTTCACATCACACCCCATCAAGAACCCACTTGGTCTTCAGTATTTATTATATATCGATGTGATATATAGGTGCCTTGAGACATTCAAACAAAACATTTTGATTTGTAGAGTTCTTTAAGAAAAAACCCCTGCAAAATATGGATAAAAGCTGCTTCCAAATGTCCTTTCTCTCAAATCAATCTACTTTCAACATTCCATAAAACTTCTCAACTGATCAATATGAACAGCTTCTTCCAAGATTTGGAAGCACGTGAAATGTAACTATTATATTGGCAAATGTTCTTATAATTATTTTAAAAGCACACTTATAAAAAACAATCTTTCAAAATTGCTTAAAGGTGGAGCATTTGTTCATATTATTAACTCTTGAAAATATATATTGATTCATTCAGGAAATGAATGAATGGCTTTTTTTATGAAAAGGAACAAATGCATTGAATATATTGTTGGAATCTGCTGCTGCTGACGTCAATGTTATTTTTCAGAATTAGAGCATATATTCCATTATAAGGTTTATGATTTTTAAATCAATGTATTTGAATTTATAAAAATTCTGTGACGTAGGATACTGAATAGATACGTTAGAAAGGAAGAGATTTCTTTGATTTTTTTTTCTTTTTTNCTGCTCGAATGTTGGCAGGAACATTCATTTTGAGACTAGTTTACCATAATGAATTCTGACATCATTGCACTCTCCATCAAGGGTGTTGAAATGGAATAAGTGACTAATGTCAGGGGTCTGTGGAAACCCTCGAAACCAAGGACATTCCTTGGCTCTCTTCTCTTCATTTTGAGTGGAGTTTTTAAGCAGTAGTTCCTTCTAGATATTTAATGGATCTCAGCATTTTAAGAATTAACTAATAGTTCAGAGACATAAAAGCAATCGTGTGGCTTTTGTTTACTTCCCTCAAACTGGGTTATTTCATAGTGTTTAGAATGTAATTCTTGCAAGCTAATTCCCTTTTTTTTGTTCCTTTTCTACCATAATTATCCATCTAGATTAAATAATTTTTTCTGCTGTCAACAGTGAAAGTGATTGGTTAAAATTATGTGACTAAAAAAATGTATGAATGGTGTAGGCATCAATGAGAATTGTAGGTTTTTGCATTTGGGACACTTTTTCCTTTTCTAATATTTAAAATGTGCAATCTTTCACCTCCAGCTGTCCTCCTTCCTGCTGTCAGACTGACCTGTGGTTGGGCCACCAGCCTCGTGGTTGGGCCAACAGCCTCGTGGTTGGCCCACTCATTTGACTAGCACAGCCCCAGGCCTACTGAGACATGCTTGGTTACCATGGAGTCTTTGTTTACAAGCAGGATTCTTCCCAGTTTGAGGAAGAATTTGATTCTGAATCCTAAGCTCTCTCCAGAAATAAAATAGAAACAGTTTGAGAAAAACTTGTATCTGCTTCCAAGGTAATATCGGGGCTCTGGGAATATGCCCTCACTTGCTGCTGGTTTTGCCTTATCATGTGGGTGACATCCTTTCGGTCCTGGAGACTTCCTCCAGTTTTCCACTAGAGGGCCTCGGTCCTGCACGGGAGAAACCATCTGGTGCCTCGCAGGGGAGGGAATTTCTCTATCCATCATTCCTCTGTTAAGGCAGCCAAGGCATTACCCTCGGACACCGGACACTGGACTGCTTCACCTGGGCCAACAGGATTTTCCTTCCAACTGTGAACCGGTTCCTAGGAGGATCTCACTGGAACGCAGATATATGTTAAGCAATTTGCCTATTAATGATTTTTAAAAATGTAGACCTGCCTGAGCTCTTGTATTCAGATTTTGTTCTTTCTTCAAGAGCTGCACTTCAGTCTGCCCGCTGCCTGGCCGGCTGACCAAAACGCCCGATTCGCGCTGCTTTTGTCTTAAGGACACCTCCGTTGCTGAGGTAGTCAAAAAAATGTTGTTAAGCCCAGTACAACTCTCGTTACGTTTGAAATGAGACTTCCGGAAGCTTCGCCTGCTTGTTNGAGTAAGCTAGCTCACTGAATTATTATAGTATTCTAGAAATTATTCAAATTCTAAAATTGCTTCCAATCTCTTATTTCATCTGAAGAATAATGTATGCCAGTTAGCAAGAAAGAGATAAGAAGAGTACTGTTTACTGAAATGTCTGCAATTTACACCTCCATAACGGGTTCAGGAGAAAGCTAGTATTATTTAGGTAATGTCAGTTTGTAGCGGTCTAAATTTCTGCTTCTATAATAGACATGTATGTTATTTGGGCTTTTAGCTTGGCTTTTACAGCTTCGCTTCACGCTGCTGCCTGCTGTTAAAATGCATAGTTAGAATGTATACATTACACAGATAACATAGAGATAAGCAAATTCATTCAAGTGTCCAGATTATATGTCCAGTATTTTTTATGGGTTCGATATAAAAAAATCCAGAAGCTTTTACCATTCAGTTCTGCTCATAGTCCATGTATTTTGTGTCATTTTGAAATTGCCATATATCAACGTTGATTTTCTTTATACAGCATTTTTTGTCCTCAAGAAAATACTGAAGAAGCCCTGTTGTTATTGCTGATTAGTGAATCTATGGTAAGTAGAATGTGTTTTATTTTTCTTCCCCCTGTTCCTATAGTTTCTTTTTTGATATGGCTACTCCATCTATGTAGTGACTCTATAGAGGGGCTACCTGGGCGGGAAGAAACAGATGTTTCAAAGGAGGGATGTTTCTTAATTCTCGGACTGGGTAGAGTGTTCCTTGGTTGGCCTAGAACGTGGAGCTTCTCTTCCCGTAGCAATTAGCAGACATCTGAATTCAATCATTTATCCACCAAGTATTGACTGAACACTAACGCTAGGGTGTACTACAGGTCAACTGCAGCTAAAATGACCTCCAAAAGAACCTTACAAGGAGAAAGACGCCCCCAAAGGGTAACCTTTACGAGCCTTCTCCGTTTGCCTTGGTAGGAGGGAGAGTTTGGGGATAAATCTCTTGTTGTGTCCATGAACCTCTGGTCTTTATAGCAAGAGCTGATGCAATTGCTTCATCCTCTTACCCAGGTCCCCTCCCCAACTGAGTCCCCACCTGTCCCCCAAGCATCGCACAGTCCTAGGCCGTGAGAGCTCACTCCTGTTACCTGGCTTTGCTGTTGTGAGGGGTTTTTAGTCAGACTGTTAGATACCTTTGACATGTTTTCTTAGTGTTTGGCCAGGATATCAAATTTTAGGTCTAGAATTTCATTGCTTATCTACATGTTATTAGGCGCGGTCCTGGTTTGAAACTCCTAGGAGTAATGTGTCTCGTAGGAGCTAATACCTTGGCAAGTCAATGTGTGTGCTGAGCACCTGAGCAGAGTGGCAAATTCCTGGAACTTGAAAGGACCTAGAGGTCCTCACACCCATTCACTTATTCTGCAGATGAGGAAACATGACGGCCAGAGGAGGTAAAATGTGAAGTGATCAGTTAATCTTTCTAGTAGACCATTCTGCCTGTTCCCACGTCTCCCACCCCACCTGGCAGGCAGGAGGAGAAACATGAATCACAACTAACACAAGAGAAGGTGTTTCCCTTCTTGCCCAAGCACACAGTTTAAATGGAGGTACGAAATACGCTCAGGCGAGAAAGACAGAAATGGAGCAGAAGAAAATACGTGTGCTGAGTGAAGAAAATACGTGTGCTGGACTTAGTCAAGGAGGGCAGCTTTCTTGCCTCACTGTGGAGCTCTGGGTTTTCTTGTTCTGTGAAATGGCTCAGGGGTGTTTGCAGGAGCAAGACAGCTTGAGTTACCAGTCTTCTCATTTGGAAGCCCTTTGACGTCATTGGCCTTTCTTCCTCTGAAGGAAACCGGTCGCCCCGTTGGCTCATCTTTCCTTGACGGTCAGCTGGTAACTTAGGACGGTGTCATTTACAGTCTCTGCCTTGACACAATCAGGGAAGGCGTGCATGTGAACAGGCTGGCACTTGGTGGCATTCACTAATGGGTTTTCGCATGAGCGAGCCTCACCATGCTTTGTCATCAGTTCTTTGATGGGGACCAGCTCTTGTTGGCCTTCCAGCTACCATTTCCGCATTCTCAGCTGGACTCTTCACTACTTGGCAGTTAGTTTCCTTTGGGCAAACCTGGTTTGTTATTTTATCAAAGTTCTGAAAGCTGATTGAAGATGTTGAGTTCTGTTGTCAGAGCGTGTGTTCCAGTTTGGAATTTGGAAAACATGGTCACATCTCTAAAATGTTTGGGTCTTAGGAATGATGCCTCCATCTCTCCTGCTGCTTCACTGAAGTGATAGGAACTAATAATACTCAAAGTTGGGATCCCTTTGAGACAGTCAGATTTGGCTCTGTGGTGTTTAATTTCCTAAACAACTCTTTAGGTGCTGGTGAAATCCAGTGATGTCATCAGTAAATATGAAGGACTAGGTTTCCAGCCAAAATGATTATGTTATCCCTGTAAATCATTCCATACTTATGTCAGTTGAAATACAAATTATCATTGGAAGCCTTTTTTCACATTCCTTGAGTCCTTGATTTTAACTTTTTGCACAGAAAAAGAATGTGCTCAAGTTCAGAACCAAAATGAGAATTGCTGTGTTTTGGGGTTTTTTGTTTGTTCTTTGTTTTTTGGGGTGGTTTTTTTTTTTTGGTGTTTGGGGAAATCGTATTCTTCATTGGTTCTGACTTTAACTTAGAAGCATAAATTTGTCCATAGTCCCTCTGCCTACAAGAACCCATTTGGAATTCTACTGTGCTTTGACCTCACATCAGTTTTTCCCAGGAGAAAAAGAGGTATCAGAAGTATATTTGCACAACCAACACTGATACAGTTTGCTGGGATATTTATTATTTGTGGATCTCTTTGAGGTTCTATATTATACTTTTTTAATCAAAAGACACTGAGAGACTTTCTCTAAATGTTCTTTAAAAGAAGGCATTCGGCATAATTTGAAGATTTTTCCTACATAGTATTTTGTTTTGTTCTCTTCTAGGCATTGGTCTCAATATGGAGCATTTATAGCAAATAAATAAAATGAGATCACTTAGAGCAAGCCCTATTTCTGTCAGGGCTTCTTTTGTTGGCTTAAAAGCCACCCCTAACAGGAAAAACTTAGAATAAAATCTTTGAAACTAGGCTTATTTCCATGAGAGATGACTCACTTTGTAGGAAGTGGCCTGTCTTATATATTCTTATTTGTCTTTGACATTTAAGAGCAAGGAGTCTGAAAGTGAGTAAGTACTGATGGGTGGCTAAAAGTAAATGCCTTGGACTCACACACAGAAAGAAAGCATTTTGTCTCGTTAGTGAGAGAGAAGGTGTGTGTCTAGCCTTTCCAAATGTCAGGCAGAAGATAAACATCAGCGTGCCTGGACAAATTACCCCGATACTCATATAACCACTTTCAGAGAAAAAACTGAGGGTCCCTTTCTATGCTCTTAGAGACAGATAGATATGGAAACTTCTGTTAATTAGCAGGGGAAAAAAGATAGGCAAAATCTAACTTTATTGGATTCTGAACTCCCTAATAGGGAGAAAAGGAAAATGAGCTAGTGGCTAGAGGCTCTAATGCATGGGGTATGTCTGGAGGAACCTGGAGAGAAATTACATTTCAAAAGTAATGAAAACAAGTTGCTGCAGAGAGCATCTGATTTCTAGATAGATGAGATTAATAAGCTTGAATGTGCCTGCTGTATTTCTGCACTAAGCAGTGAAGATGTGAAATAGGCAAGGTGTTCTCTTGAGTCCTCTGTGGTAATATCTTTAAAACAAAAATCTGTTTGCTCCTTGCTTTCTCTTATGCATCTGTTCTGTGCTTCCCTGAACAAGACTGAATTAGTCTTTGTAGCCTGTTCCGGTGAAGATGTCTGTTAGGGATTTGAACGTCACTTTGGTGATGGAGGAAAAGCACGATGTGTCTCCGTAGGACTGATGGAACTTGATGACACCATTTGGTGATGGGAAGCATGGGGCCGGGAGTTTTCTCCCACTCTTTAATGTCGAGCAGAAGCAGGATCTGCAAGTGAGACGCAGCAGGGCCTCTCGGCGGAGGGTTTGGCTGCCCCAGAGTACAGCTGCGTCTGCAGCGAGGCTGTCTGTGCACCTGAGCAGGAGAAGTTAACCTGCTTGGCACTGGCTCCTAAGCCTTCCTCCAAATAACTGCTGGCAGGTACACGTGCCCTCTAGGATCCCACGGCCAGGGCTTCCGTGTTTGGAGAATGCCATATCCCACCTGCTTGGTGCTCTGGGGATTGTGAACAAACAACCGGAAGTGACAAGTTCCTTATTCATTTCCGCCCTTTCCTCCTGAGCCCGGACAAGCTGTTAGGGGCAGGGGCGCCTAGATGGCTTCTCTCCGCAAAGTGCTAGCTGTGCGCATGGGCTGGCTCACCATCTGCTTCTCTCTTCCGGGTTGTTTCCAGGCCAACCGGGATGCTGTGCTGAGCAGGATACCTGAGCACAGGAGCGACCGCCTCATCAGTCTGCAGAGCGCGTCTGTGGTCTATGATTTACTGACCATTGCTCTTGGAAGAAGAGGCCAGTATGAGATGCTGTCGGAGGTACAGCCCTGAGTCTGGATGACTTCCAGGTGGGGGGTGGTGCTGGCAGGATAAGGCACTGGGAAAGCTGCCGGGCCTGGTCCTGGCCCCCCTCTGTCACTGGCAGCCACGGGACGTCCGACCCATCATTTAACTTCAGTTTCCTCCTCTGTAAAATGGAAGTGGGGCTAAATGATTAGATGGTACCATTCTTTGGCGGTCACTTCCTGCCAGTGGTCCAAAAACCCTACTGGCTGTGATTTTGTGTGTGAGGTAAGGCAGTCATTTCTCAAGCAGTTTTCTCTTTCAGGGTAATTTCCACCATCAACAAAAATCTCCCATCTGTGCGGTTAGTTTCCTTATAAAACAGGTTTTCTTTTATTTAAAGTGTCACTGTGTAACTCCTGGTAAAACTGCAACCCCAGGGGATTGTCCGGTGAGCTGGCCTAGGGTCCCTAGGGACACGGTAAGCAGTGTCTTCATTTAGGGTCTTCTGTTTGGTCAGAAGAGACTCTAGTTGATTATAGATCTTGTGCGAGATGCTGTCATGTAACATTCCCTCAGCTCCTGAGAAACATTTAGGATGGAAGCGTGACTGTTTTCATTCCAGAGGAAGCTGGTTAACCTTGGGCTGTGGTTATACATTATTGAGTTGCTGCCCAGAAAACCGAATTCCACGATGGTAGGGGCTACATACATAACAAGATCATTTTATCTTTTCTTTAGTGGAGTAAAAAGAAAGAAAACAACTCATTTTGTTAAAATGAACGTTTCCATGTTATTTATCTTTCTTTTTCTAAATTTATACACATTGCAACAGCCTCTGGGCACGTGGACAGGGCATGAAATACAGTAACAGATTGGCTGAAATCAGATAAGCGCCCGACTCACCCTCTAGCCTGCCGGTGCCTCCTCACATCAGGCAGGAGCCTGGGGAGCAGATGAGCCTGCGTGGCTTGGATCTTTTTTTAGTCTTTGGTTTGGTGACTATACAGGGCAATGGTTACTCAGTCTTCAAAAAAAGCCCCTCAATCCGGCTAGATAAAGCAGTGTGTCCAGATGTCGTGTCACACACGGCACACCCCCTGGGACTCTGCCCAGGCTTGGGATCGGCCCAGATCCGTCACTGGCCTGGGTGCTGTGATTTCCTGAGACCCTCTCCCCCAGCTAGCTTAGTGCCTGTCTCCCATGTCCACCACGGAGCCCGTCTGTGGGGACAGTGCCATCCAGCCCATGGTTGAGTTCTTTCACGATGAACTTCTTTCCTCCAGACAAACCACTAAACCGCTCTCTGGGTCCAAGGCTGAGTTGGTTTGCCTGTCTGCTTTCATCCCATCGTGTCGCAGTGTAGCCTTTCTCCAGCTTGAAATTGGCCAATGTCTGAAACAGGTGTGAGGAGCTCGAGGTGGCTGACTTGGTTACAGGCTGGATGACCCCTGCCCACGGACTTCTCCTCATGCCGTGAATGACTCTGGGGGGATGGCTGTCACCTTAGCAGCATTCCTCTGCAAGCCGGCAGCTCCCTGGCATGTACTTGCTCCTGGCACGGAATGCTGGGACCTTGTTTTCACCCAGATGACTTTCATCTTGATGTCACATTTAGCTTCCATCTTGTGGTGATGACCTGACGCCCAAGTCACTGGGTAGTCTGCTTGGTTGTTGGAGGCCTTTGCAATTTAGAATTTCACTACACTAGTCGCATTTAAAACAACGGTGACAGTGCCAGGGGTGGCCTCGCAGGTGCTAGAGCCTACTCTAGGGTAGGAAAAAGGGATATTTATCATCGTATATCCCTTGGAGCCTTTTGAATTTTGTACCATATCTGTGTTTTATCTATTAAAACTATAGATCGGTTGATAAAATGAAGGACACCCATGTCTTGAACACATATGTTTGCAGCCCCCTATTCTGTGCCAGGGATTGTGATTAAGGCCGGGATACAGCCATGAGCTAGGTGCTGTCCCTGCTGTGAGCAGCTCCCAGCCTAGAGGGAGGCAGCCAAGCAGCGGGCTGGTGTGGCTGGGGCTGGGGAGGGTTCTCTGCAGAGTCTGCATCCAGTAATAAAGATGCGAATACTTGGCTTCAGCCTTTCTTGCTGTTTCTACTTAGTTTTGCAGTTGGAGCTTCTTCCAGCAAACATTTGATGGCCATGTTGTCTCAGATCTTCTAAGTAAAACAGGAGGTATCATAGGTGAAAGGTAAAAGTGCATGGCACCTCGAGGCAGCAGTTCCATCATCCGGTAGCTCGATTTCTGAGGATAGGGGCTGGGCCCACCCTTGGCGTAGCATGGACTCTCTCTCCCATAGTCTCAGGTCACATCTTATTTAGATGTCTGGCTTCCCTCATTTGTTGAGATTTTCTCTCTCTGTTTTTCTTTACCTTTCATCTGCTCAGCTTCCTTTTTTCTCAGGACTTTAGGTTGAAAGGCTAACTGGAATTTTTTTTAATTGAGGTAAATTCATGTAACAAACTTAACCATTTTAAACTGTACACTTCAGTGGCATTTAGTACGTTCACACTGTTGTACAACCATCACCTCTAATTCAAAAATATTTTCATCATCCTGAAAGGAAGCCCCGCCCCATTAAGCAAGTGTTCCCCATTCCTCCATCCCCCCAACTCCTGTCAACTACTATTCTGACTGTGGATTTACCAAGTTTGGGTATTTCATATAAATGGAACCATGCAGATAATATGACCTCTTGTATCTGGCTTCTTTCACTTAGCATAACAAGGTCATCCACGTTATAGCATATGTCAGTAATTCATTCCTTTTTATGGTTGAATAACATTCCATTGTAAGGATATATCACAATTTGTTTATACATGTATCAGTTGATGGGCATTTGGCTATGATGAATAGTGCTACGGTGGGGGAACTGGATTTTAATCTTCCTATATTACTTCTTTGGGCCCTACGAGTGATAGTGATTATCATTATGATCATTTATCATGGTAGTGTATTCTATCTCCCTGTCTTCATCTCCTGTATCGCCACCAGAGTGATCTTTCTAAAACAGAAAGAGGCATGTTACCTTCTGTTCAGAAACATGGCTCATCTCCTTTTCCCTTCTTTTTCCCTCTTTTTATTTTGTTTTACTTTTTCTCTCATAATGAAATTGACTTCATTGTTCATCTTTCTGCCATATGCACCAGCCCAGCAGACTCCTTGAAAAATCAAACAATACAGACAAATATGGAAAAGGAAATAAAAGTCACTTGGAATCCCACTCTCCTGAGATAGTTGACTACCCATTGACGTTTTAGAGACCATCTTTTTATGTATCTCTTTGTGAATAAATGCATGCAAACTTATGTGAGTTTCAAGGAATGAGATATTGTGGCTGTTCCCAATCATTGCTCCCCCCTCCACTGGTACCCCATCCCTGTCTCCTCAACCCCCCAACCCAGGTCAGCAACCTCATGTGTCCTGGGCACGCACCCCAGAGTAGAGAGCATGGCTTTGAGTTCCAGTTGTGTGACCCTGGAACTCATTAACCTCTTATTCCCCAGTTTTCCTTTGGTAAAATAGGGGTAATAATCATACTCAGATCATTGCGAGGGTTATTCACTAATCCTGTAGAATCCTCAGAACAGAGCCCAGCACACGGAGCTCACTAAATGGTGGCTGTGTGCTTCTGCACTGCTGCTGCCTCCATATGCATGGGAGTTGCCAGGACAGGAGAAGCAACCAAATATACCCCCCAAAAAAGAAAAAAAAAGGTCTTTGGCTTCCAGAAACTTCCAGTCCAGTTAGGGAGATAAAATAAAAAGCCCTGAAAAGATAACTACAGTTGACCCTTGAACAACAGGGGTTTGAGCTCTGTGGGTCCGCTTATATGCAGATAATTTTTTCAATAAATACCTGTTGTCTTTTCCATCCACGATTGGGAGTCCATGATGCAGAGGGCTGACTGTATGTGTTGATCTACACCATTTTATTTAGGGGGCTTGAGCTTCTGCAGGTTTGGGCATCCACAGGGGGTCCTGGAACCCCTGTCCCACTGGTACCAAGGGACAGCCAAGTTTTGACATAATCAAAAGTTATATGTATATTTTCGACTGCACGGAGGTCAGCACCCCTAACCCCCATGTTGTTCATGGGGTCAGCTACCAAAGGTCAGCCGTAATTAGAGAAGACTGGGTGGTGCAAGGCATGTTTGATGCAGGTGAGCAGACTAAGCCCATGGCAGCAGACTGTGCAGGTTGGAGTGCCAGCGAGAGAATACCAACAGCCGATGTGTGAACTGGCTCTTCAAGGCCTGATAGGAATGAAAAAGTCTAAGAGCAGAGGGACACCCTTCCTCATCAAAATCGTGGAGGTGTGAGTGCGTTGGGCCTGAGGGCCTGGAAATGGAAGCTTGTGCTCACAGAGGAGGTAGGACAGGTTGTTGGACAGACCCCCTGGTGTCTTGGTACTGCTTGTGTCCCTTGCTGATGTGACCTGGCTGCATCACCCCCTAGCTGGTCTGTGAGCGGGTCCTCTGCCTCAGCGATGCTGCACAGATCTTCCTGTATCCGGCCGGAACCTTTTATGAACAGAAGGTTGCAACCACCAGGCCACTGTGAGACAAAAGGCCTTACCTCCTCCTCACCCTGTCCTCATACTGTCCTTCTTTCTCTTGTCCCCAGCCAGCACCAACACTTCCACATCAGGACACGGTGTGTTTTTCTTCCCCTCATCTCCTCGGCTGACCTGAGCCCTAGGCGTTCCTGCCCCAAAAGGGGAAAGGGCCAGTGGGGCCTCTGCTGCAGTTCCCACCATGTCACTGTCTTCCCTCCTCCTGGCGTTGACCCCTTTGGGTGGCTTGTGCAGCACTGGGCGGACCCAGGCTTGTAAGAACTGTGTTTACGGGGGAGCAGAGCCACTTTCACACGAAAACTTGCCTCTCTGTCTCTTTCTTCAGTTGCGTTTATTCAAGATGGAAGGCTCCTCTCCCATCTCAAGGTTGGCTCCCTTTGTGTGTGCCCACAGAACGCCTTTCTTTTTTTTCAGGGCACTGTTAAGCCAGATACTGGG